GTGGCAGAGAGGATTGACCCCTCAGGCCTTGGCCAGAGCACACCACGATAGCTCCGGCCGCAACCTATTCGTCGTCGCCGGCGGGCTGCCCCGAACGCACCTCGCCCAGGTGCTTGTTGAGGATCGCCCGCCGCCTGAGCTTCTCCAGCACCTCGTCGTCGGCCCCCTTGTTCTCGCTGTTGGGGTCCCCGTCGAGGCGCAGGTACTCCTCCGCCAGACTCCAATCGACCTTGGAGCGCCACTTGCCGCCGTGCTGCGCCTTCGGCCTCTGCCAGTCGCTCTTGCACTGCACCCGCTCGTAGGCCTTCCAGACCGAGTAGAGGCGCAAGCAGGTCACCTCCGCGGCCTGCGAGTTGATCAACTCGTCGCACTGCCCCTGGCTCATCATCCTGTCGAGGACCAGCGCCAGCATGTTCAGCTCCTGCGCGATGCCCGCGCCCTGCAGCTCCTTGGAGCGGAGCCACTCCTGCATCTCCACGCGGGCGCTCCGCCCGCCCTTGTAGAGCTTCGCCAACACCGTCGGCGCCACGCGGGCCTTGATCCCGCCCACGGGGGAGCCCGCCACGCGGCGGTACTTCTCCAGCGTCGTCAGCAGGCTCTCCTTCGGGTTCCGCGACTCCTCCTTCAGCTGAACGATCTGGTCCTTCAAGGGATCGTCGAGCTCGCCCAGGTCCCCGACCTTCTCCCAGGACGCTGCGCTCGAACTCGGCGTAGGCGATCCCGCCTGGGCCCGGGTGCTCGAGCCCGAGTCGCGCTGCACCAGCTCCTCGTGCTCCGTCAACTTCTTGATGAACGCGTCCACCTCGGCCGTGCTGGGCTCGCCCACTCTGGGCGGCGGCGGCTCCGCGGGGGGCGGGAGAGGCAGCCCTGGGTCCGACGCCAGAGCCCCACCGCCGCAGGCCGGGCCCGCCCCCGCGCCGCCACCGACGTCCAGCCTCGACTTCAGCATGCCCACCGCGTCGGCCAAGTCTGACTGCCCACGAGCCAACTCCGCGAACAGGGTCTTGGCGTCACGCTCGTCACCACTCACGTCGCTCACGTCCTCGCCAGCGTGCACTGACCCGCTGTCCGAGTCCGAGCCTGAGTCGCTGTCCGAGTCGCCCTCCTTTCTGCAGGAGCATCCGTAGGTCCAGACCGCGTAGATCCCGATGAGGATGCAGCCCAGATACGCCGCGCAAAGCTCAAGGTCGCCTGACTCGTACAACTCGCCAACGAACTCACGGAAGTTGTCCAGGTCCTCGATCGCCTGCATCCCCGCGGAGATGGTGTGGCACCCCGCGGCGAAGAAGGACCCGAGGTGCAGCCACCGCCACAACCTCCAGCCCACGAAAAGCGCCGCCGCCGTACCGCCCCACGTCTTGTGGGCCCAGGCCGTCACCACGGTCGACACGAGCCCCTTTCCGAACCAGGACGCCACCTTGGTCTTCGAGCTCGCCTTCTTCCCCTTCGTCGTGTTCGCTTTGGCGCTCTCGGCGCCAGCCTGGCCCAGCTCGTGGCGCACGATGAGCCGCTCCGCAGCTATGATGGCCTGCTCCCTCTCCTTCTCGGTCAGCCCTGGATGCTCGGTCCAGGTCGCCCCCTTCTTCGGGCGCGGCAGCATCCGCGCCTTGTCCCGAAGGTTTATGATCTGCACGCGCTTCGCGGGATCGATCGCGGCCCACACCAGCGAGGTCCCCGGGCCGACGCGGCTCACGAGCAGCATCACCACGCCCGTGTTCCTCCCCTGCGCCTGGACGTAGACGCGGTTCCACCTGCTCCAGGGCGCCATGAACCCTGCCGGCGAGCCTGTCCACCCGGCGCCGCCCGCGGGGTCGAGCGGCTCGACCAGGACCTCCTCGGCCTTCTCCTGGCGGCCGCCGACGAACTCCAGCAGCCCGTCGAGCTCGCAGAGGGCGAGCGCCGCCACCAGCAGCCAGCCGGGACGCCCGATGGCCGGCGTCGTGGCGGCGCCCGAGCCTGTCGGGCCCGGGGCGAGCAGGGGCTGGAAGCTACCCCTCTCTGATGGCTCGAGCGCGGGCCTCGCCCGCGAAACCCGCTTCTCGAGCCGAAACTTTGCGCGAGGAGCGGAGGGGCAAGCACGAGAGAGAACGAGCTAGCCCTACTCCTAAAATACAGTTGAGAGGCGGCTATCTGAACGTTTAAAGGGGGCGTGTAAAAGTGTGTTTAAAAACGCGTAAAGATGGCGCCCAGATGAAGCTAAGTTGTTGCTCGACACTCTTCGCGGGGCGCGGTGCTCCGCCCCGTGTTCTCCGAGGCCCAGCCTGGCCTCGACCGCCGCCGACTCCTCCGGCGTCGCCTCCTCGACGGAGAAGGAGCCCCGCCGCGGGAAGTGGAATCGATCCACGGTCGCCCGCGGGGCCCTGATCTCTCTGAGGTTCTCGCAGACGAAAACGATGCCGCGATGCCCACCGCGCGTTATCACGCGGACCTGCCCCCGGCTGATCGACGCGAACTTCACCGCCCTCGTCAAGCTGATCTCTGCTCCCAGGGCTTTCAGCAGTCCTCCTGGCAGTAGCGGAGGAACGTTCTCGACCGCTATCACGAACTCGATCGCCCCATTGCATCCTGCGACGCTGGCGGGTTGCCAGCGCAGCGCCTAACAGAGCGGCTCTGCCTCCGAGTCCCGATGGCGTCGTTGGGGTTATTGGGGCCCACGGCGATGTCAGGTTCATGTCCTTCAAGTGGTTGTCTAGGTCCTTCAGAGCCTTAAGACCCATGATGGCCTGTGCCGCTGCGCTGCCCTGGAGAGCAGTCCCTGGTCTTACTGATAGAAGCCCCAGGTGTTCCAGGCGTCGGCGCCGTCCTCGCCGAAGTGAAACGTGGTGTGCTTTTTGACGTCCTTGCTCTGGCCCTCCTGGGGCTTGCATGCGTCCTTGCACCCCTTCCGCAAGTGGCCCTTCTCTCCGCTATGCGCGCACTTCATGATCAACTTTAGCTTCTCGATCGACAGGCGCTCTCGCCTGCGCCCGGGCCGCGGCGGAAGGGGGGCTCTGGAGCCCTTCTTGGAGTCGCTACTTTCAGCAGCTTGTTCTCTCGGGGCCTCTTCTTCTTCGCGAGGAGCCCCTCGACGAACGTCTGGACCTGATCATCGTGGACTTCGGCCTCCTCCAGATGATCGGAGATCTCGTCCTCGCCGGCGGAGTCGATCTCGGACTCGTCGCTGCTGCCCGTCATGGCAACCACGGGGTTGTCCAGTTCTTCTGTCACGAAAGCCCTGCCCCTAGAGTTCGGCCCGACCAGCGTCTCGAACTGGGACGTGTCCGGCTGGCGCAGAGCGTTCTTCACCTTCTCCTCGTCCAGGACTCTTTGAGTTATGTCCCTCAAAGACATCATGTTTGGTTCTTGCAATCCGCACCTTTCTTCGAGAAGCATGCCTTGTAGATTGCCCGGGGGAACGATGTCGAAAGTTGGTGCTGCGCGAAATTGACGGCCGCTTCTGTTCACATTTTGATACAAGGACTCTGCGTTCTTTCGGTCGTATTCGAATACTGCTTCACGGAGTGCTCGTCGCTCTTCATGTCCATCTCTCTCTCTCTCTCCTGCTCTGGCTGCCATACGAATCGATAGATTGGGCAACCCATCTTCACAAATCAGCTCCCCGGTGGAAAACAGCCCAAGAGTGTCCTTCATCTCGCAGTTCATGTTCTTCAGTACCTTGTCTGTTTGCTTCTTCGGCGGAATGTCCGTGCACTCGGCCAGCCGCCTGACCTCTTCACGCCAGGCTCTGAACCTATCCCAGTCCTGGAACTCGGGAGGGTCCGAGAAATCTCCCCTGATCACGTTCTCTTCGTCCTACCGGGGTCGTAGTGCCAGCCTTGGGCCCTCCAGTCCCAGTCGACCTGTTCCGTCGCCTGCCAGCCCCTTGACCAGGCGTCGTCGTGCCACCGCCAGCCACTGGAGTGGCTTTCTTCTGCTCCACCAGGCTTCCGCTGGTGCTCGAATTCGGTATCTCCCTGCGGCTCTTAAGCATAGCCCCTGGGCCTAACCGACGCCTCCACCTGCGCGCGGAGCAGTGGTCCGACCGCTTCTGCTATCATCCGAGCCGCCGAGGCGAGCGCGTCGTTTGCTCCGACGCCTCGCACCTGCCCGGGCCTGGTGCCCTGGCCGGCTGCACCCTCGACCTGGCCCGCGTGCGTCTGGTAGCTCCCTATCGCCCCAGATGCTGCCTCCTCCCCGCCACCTGCAAGCATCTTGCCTGCTGGGACCGTTCAGCGGCCTGTCAGCGCCTGCTCGGTGCCGAATGCCGCCGCCACTGCTCCAGCTACCAACCGTTGGCCATGGCGGAGATCTGCGAAACAGTCTGAGAAAGAAGGGGCCTGTTTCATTCAGAACGCACGAAGAATCCCTGTGAGCCTACGCGGCTATGGAACAGAACAAGCACTCGAGACATCCCCTGTCCCTACACATACACACGCAAGCACTAGGACCGAACGCCATACTGATGCAACACTCGCCAGTAGGCTTGCAGCTCGGCCGCGTATGCGGAGGGAGGGAGCTGGGAGGTGAGAGAGCCGAGGAGCTTCCCAACAGTCCCGTCCTGCCCCCGCTGAACCACCACCCATCCCGCCCTTCGGAGCTCCTCAAGGGCACTGGTGGTGGCTGACCCGTCACCAGCAAGAGGCAGGTCGGGCTCGAAAGCAAAACTATCGATAGGCACGGGCACGCCTCCAACAAGGGCACGCACGATCATCTTCTCACGCGCCCTGGGACAGACCACATGGGGCCTAACGGGCAGCGACGGGGTGCACAGAACGGACCGAGGCTACCTTCGCGAGAGCCTGGGGATCTGGCGGCCGCGGTATGCGGAGTGGCGCGAGACGGGACTCTCGGGGATACTCGGGAGACTGGGGATTTGGCGGCCGCGGTATGCAGAGTGGACGGGTCGGGAGGTCTGTTCATAAAACCTAACGACGACAACCTGTCGGGTGGGGAAGAACGGGAAAGAGGAACTGGGCAAAACAAACTGCCATATCGTTTCCAGGTTCCACAAAGCCCTTCACCACATTAAGCACGAAGAAGTAGACGAACGTGATGTATACCAGAAAGAACATCATCCATGTCGCATTTCCGGTCCCCTCCAGCGGCGCGGTGAGCTGGTTCCAATTGATACCCCCAGACACGGCCATCCACAGGCTCAGCATGGACAGGTAGAGGTCCCCGTAGTACGATACGAGATCTTCATCATCGACTCGGGCGCCACCCTCTGTGTGCTCCGTCGCGGCCTGCGTCAAGATCACCCCAAAAGCGTATACGATCATGACGAGCAGCATGAGTGCCCAAAAAACAGACTTGCTGGCAGATGCTATGGAGTGCACGAGCACCCGCAGTGGCTTCAGTTGGCGAACTGTTCGGACGATGCGCAGAAGCCGAGTAAGGCGAAAGAGTCGCAACATCTTTGCCATTCCGCCGTGGTCAAAGGGGTTACGACCCCTGCCTGAAAGAATTTGAACAGCGATATCCAAAGCAATTTCGACGAGCGCCAGAACCAGGATGATCATGTCGAAGACGTTCCACATTCTGTCTTTCGGGTTATGGAGACCTAATACGAGGACTCGCATCACCACCTCTACCGCGAACATGAAAGTGAGCACATAATTAGCAACGGATAGAACACCTAATAGCTGATCCGAGCCTGACCTCTGCTGGGACAGGATAGAAAGAACTTGGGTCTCAATACCAACCAGCAGTGTGTTCATGATGATCAGAAACGCAGATGCTACAGCGAAGAAGCGGCTTTTCACAAATGAAGCGAGGGGGCCGTTCTTTCGTCCCAATGGCAGCCTTGTAGAGCTTCGGATGCTCGTGCTCACAGATGCCTCGAAACTCCTCTTTCCTACTAACGATGCGTTCCCCGTCCACTTCTTGCCCGGGTTGCGCACGAATCTGCCGCCAGCGCTGGTGCGGGATCAGAAGAGCAAGAAACCGTATAAATCTATACACTTTCGGGTGTCCGCGCGGACTTCTTTGATCGGCGCTGGACTTCCCTCCCTGGCGCGTGCGGAGCGCGCCAGAGGCGGCGCCAGAGGCGCCACGAGGAAAGCCCGGCGCCTACCTAGGAAATCCGTGCGGACCTCCGAGAGACGAAGTCCATGCAGCTCTCCTGCTCTTCGATGCTCGTCGGGGCTCTTCGGAGGTCACGGATAACCTGAAGGCCCCCGAAAACGTGGCCAGAGCGAGCGGGGCCCCAAAGCCAATGGCGACGCACCGCGCGGCGGCACCGAGATCCCAAACGAGACCTCACCACGCGGTCCGTCCCTGCACGGCTAAAGGCGCGTCGGGGGACCCCCGGGCGCCCGAGGCGCCCTCCGAGAACGACCCGAGGCCTAAAACAGTGCAGCGACTCCGAATCACCACAACTCGTCCTCCTCCTCCTCCCCCTCCTCCCACCCACCCCTCCTCCTCCTCCTCCTCTTTCTCCTCCTCCTCCTCCTGCTCCTCCTCATGCTCCCCTCCTCCTCCTCCTCGTCGTCGTCCTCCTCCTCCTCCTCCTCCTCCTCCACCTCCTCCTCCCCTCTCCCCCTCCTCCCCCTCCTCCTCCTCCTCCTCCTGCTCCTCCTTCTGCTCCTCCTCCTTCTCCTCCTCTCCTCCTCCTCGTCCTCGTCCTCGTTCTCGTCCTCGTCATCGTCGTCCTCGTCGTCCTTGTCCTCGCCCTCCCCTCCTCCTCTCCTCCTCTCCTCCTCCTCCTCCTCCTCGTGCTCCTCCTTCTCCTTTTCCTTCTCCTCCCTCCTCCTCCTCCTCCTCCTTCTCCTTTTCCTTCTCCTCCTCCTCCTTCTCCTCCTCCTCCGCCTCCTCCACCGCCCTCCTCCGTCTCCATTCCTTCAGTCTAAATAACTATGACTGTCGAACGCCGAGGCCAGTGTTTAGGGCAGGCCAGGCGTTGCGCATGAGACTTCATCCCATTTATGGCCCTGAAGTTTAAACGTTAGCAAAAGATTCACACATGAGATGAAGGGTGGGTCGTTTTCAAAAATTGGTGATCGCCTTAGCACCAGTACATTCGTTTTAACCACTTGCAAGAGCTTCACTGATTGAGGGCGGGAGGTTTTCAAAATGCGGCTCTCGCCTTAGCGCCGCGCACGCTCATTTTTTTTTGGGGGGGGGAGAGAAGAAAGAATCTTGCGAAGTGAAGGGGTGTCATCTTCAAAATGTGGCTCTCGCCTTAGCGCCGCGCACATTCGTTTTGAACACTTGCAAGAATTTCGCGGATTGAAGGCGGGTGGTTTTCAAGAATGTGGTTCTCGCCTTAGCGCCGCGCGCATTCATTTCAAAATAATTGCGAGCGTTTCACGGGGTGAGGGCGGGCCATTTTCAAAATGTGGCTCTCGCCTGAGCGCCGCGCACATTCGTTATTTAACATTGCAAGGGCTTCACCCATTGAGGGCAATTCCGTTTCAAACTATGGTTCCCGCTTTAGCGCCGCGCACATCCGTGAGATTTATATAAACGAATGCAAGAGTTTCACGGAAGCTCATGATCAACATACATGAAATGGTGTGTTGGAAGGAATCTGGATTATGAGGGCGCACCATTTACGTTGAGTCGCGGTGCTGAAGTCCCAAGAATAACGATCTGGCACGATTCAAGATCGCCAAGACGCAACAGTCACATTGACCGTGGCGCTCGAATCCCGAGAACAGTGTTTCGGCATGCTTTGAGGTCTTCAAACGTTTGTCTTCCAGCAAGGCAGCTCCCCCAGTGGAGATGCACCCTTGTAGGGGCATATGACGAGGGAGCTTGGAGGAAGGCTCTATTCCAACATCGTTGATGACTCTTGGGTTTACACTGGTCCTCCTCCTCCTCCTCCTTCTGCTCCTCGTCTTCCGCCTCCTCCTCCTCCTCGTCCTCCTCCTCCTGCTCCTCCTCCTCCTGCTCATCGTCTTCCTCCTCCCCCTCCTCCTCCTCCTCCTCCTCCTCCTCCTCCTCCTCCACCACCTCCTCCCCCTCCCCCTCCACCTCCTCCCCCTCACCCTCCCCCTCCCAATCCCCCTCCCAATCCCCCTCCCGCTCCCCCTCCCAATCCCCTCCCCCTCCCCCTTCCCCTTCCGCCTCCTCCTCCTCCTCCGCCTCCTCCGCCTCCTCCTCCTCCTCCTCCTAGTCCTCCTCCCCTTCCGCCTCCTCCTCCTCCTCTTCCTCCACCTCCTCCTCCTCCCCCCAGCGCGGGCCTGTGTGTTTCCAAGAAGCATGAGCGGGCCACTTGCAAACCGCCCTCCGAGAGCAGTCTCGCCTGGACGCGCCGACAGCCCTCTCTCTCGTTGGCTGCGGAGGTTCGCACATCCTCACCTGACTCTCAGCACTAGCCATGGCCCAAAAGAAGCCAGTCCGCGAAGGTTGGAGGACCTTTGGCCCGGAAGCAGATAGCCATCGAAGCTCTGAACGGCATTGGCGCCAATCGAGCGTCAGCGGCATATGATGAGATGGCCGCCAAGCATGGACCTGAACTCCAAAGCTTGGCCTTCTCTACATCCGAGAACATGCTCGGACGTGAACTACGCAAGCCCTTCGCGAAGCACAAGATCAGCTGGACGAAGGAGCACCAGGCCCGTACCTCAGTAGCAAAAGGTACGGCAGCTACCAATACAGGGAAAGACACCTCAGAGGAGTTCATTCCAACCGTGGCGCTGGCAAGCGGGGACTGGTTTATGTAGGTCAGCAGCGAACCCAACAAGAAGAGTGACGACATCTACGAGAGCACGGTGAGCTTGCATGACCCATGCATGGCGCGCAGATGGTGCTCAATACTGGCGCAGCAGAGGCAGGCGGTCCCCATCGCGATCATTGGCCTCGGCGAGGCAGATCCGACGCACGCGCGCGCAGTCCTCCAGATCCCCGTGCCCAGAGTGGGGGCAGGCGCGGGCAAGCCAAAGAAGACATTCCTCAAGGGGGCAATCTACCAGTTCGGGCAGGGCGAGGTGACCTGCCAGACCAACATTGCCACGGTCCAGGCCCTGGCGGATGACCAATTGGCAGCCACGCCCCGCGTCACCATCTACGAGAAGGATGCCGTGCACGCGAACCCCGACATCAGCCAGCTTTCACAGGCGCAGTTCTTGGGGGCAACGCCCATCCTCACACAGCGCGGCAGCCGGGACACCCTAGGTGCCGATAAGAACACGCGCTACAAGCACGCAAAGAAGCCGGAGGCAAGGATCGCGCTAGACGACCAGCTCAGGGAGCACTTCACGAAAATCATCCACACAATCAAGCCTGGCGCCAAGCTCCTCGAACCACCATCGAGAATGATGCGAGCTGGAACGGAAGAAGCAGTCACACCGACACGGGAGGGAAGGACCTGGTCAGTTACGTTCGTGGTGGCCAAGGGTGAGGTGCTCGCCTACCTCAAGCTCTCGGGTTTCAAAGGCATCACGTTCGCCAACTCCTACAGCGGCAATCCTGAGCAGGCGGAGAAGGACAAGGAGGACACGTTCGTAGTCTGGTTACCGTCGGCCACGGCCACGCTCCACGAAGCCTACGAGATTGCGCTGAAGTGCGACGGACACCAGGGTGTCATGCGAAGCGACAAGCGCTCGGTGGGGATCCGCATGGCGCGAACGTCCCCCCAGGCAAAGGAGCTGGCCATCGAAGTCAGCGGCAATGCGGCGAGCCTTGCGCGCCAAAAATTCCGCATCGACCACATCCCGCCGAACATGGCATCCAATCCACGGATCCAGACGGTGGCAGCGGACTTGCACTGGCAGTGCGAGGTAGCCAACGTCGGGTACGGCAGCAGGGAGCAGAGCCACTACGCCATTGTGAAGGCCTACGCCCCGCCTGGTAGCACCTGCTGGCGGGTGGGACATGGAAAGCAACCTTGGGTCATCACGGCTATGGCCGACAAGCCCGAGCTCCAGCAGACCGACGCGGCCCCCACCATCGTGCTCGCGGACGAGCTCGACAAGGCCAGAGCCCAGAAAATGCAGCCAACACAGCAGCCCCCAGCGAGTGGCCCAACAGCGGCGGCGGTCGTGGCCACGAAGCACACCATGGGCGGGCCCACCTGGCTCACCCACCTGCGGCCTGCGGGAGCGCTGCACCAGACGGCATGCAGGCCGAGCCCGTGCGGAGGCGCAGCCAGCCGCCCCCGTCACCACCGTCCTACCAGCGGCGGCCAACCAAAGGATTGACAACCTGGACCAGGACATCACAGCGTTGCGCCAACAGATCCAGGCCCAGAACGCGACGATCGCGGCAAACTAGACGGAGACGAACATCAAGATGGAGACCCTGAACACCGCTGTCACGGCGCAGGGCACCACGATCAACAACGCCGTCCAAAGGCTCCACGCGCTCGACGGCCTCCAGCTGGGCATCGACGCCATCATGAATAAGCTTGGAGTACGCCCTGGCGGAAGACCAGAGGGAGCTCCAGCAGCCAAGACGCCCAGGACGGAAGAGAACACCCCGCGCTAGGGGTGCACAAGGAAGGATTGTCCGACCTTCCGCTGGGAAGTGCAGTCGAAAGACAGGGGACGTTGTGAAGCTACAGACCAGAATGAGTGGGACTCTGGAGTGAAGGCGCCAGAATCCAGACCGCGAGGGTGTGGGTATACCTACGTTCACCGCTCGTGCAAATTGGATCGGCTCGAAATGTGCGTCGGATCGTCGGGCATGAACGCGTAATCCAGAGTCGGATCGGATAACGGCTGCGGCTGGGGCTGCGCCAGGCTGCACGGCAGCGCCGTGTACGCGCCGGGCCGCGCTGGATCGGCTGAACATCGGAACCGAATCAGAGTTGAATTGGCCCAAACCGACTTGGAACCGAATCGAATCCACACAGGAGCGAATCGATCGGGTCGAAACGGGCCCAGCCGCCCAGCCGTCTGGGAGGCCATGGAGAGCCTGCTCGTGTCCGCGCTCTCCCTCGAGCGCCTTGAGACCTTCGGATACGTGCAAGAGTGACCCAGGCAGGAGCGACCTTTGGTGCGCCGCCTCGGGTCTGCGCAAGGGGGGGCCACATTCAACCGCGCAAGCCGCTGCTGTCGCCAGAGGTGAAGAAAACGGAGACCATGACCAAGACTGAACAAGGAAGCGTCGTGTCGACCTTGGTCACCGTCCGTCTTGGTCAGCGTCGAGTCGTGGCTCATCCTCGCGAATCGGCGACGGCCCGCGTGGACCAGGACCAAGACCGGCGTCGACAAGATCCCGGGACATCTTGGACATGGTCAGCGTGTTTCTTCCATCGAGACGCGTCGCAGTCCCTGCAACCGCGATCGCACGCCGCCTCGCGGAACGGCGGCGCTGGCTCCCCTCTTTACCGATGCCGCCACGGCTGGGCGCCCTCCCACCGCGAGCGCGGTCGCCGCGGCGGCGGGGCACCGCCGGCCAAAGGCCACGGGGGCGGCCTGGGCCCTTGCACGGCGCTGCTGTCGCTCTGAACGCCACAAGCACAAACCTACAGCCGCCGCTGTTGGGCAGGCGGCCTTCTTCTGAAAGGGACAAACGCCCGCGGCGGCACCGACACCGAGCCCTGCTCGAAACGGACAGGAACTACTGTTTGTCGTCGTAAACATATTTCCATGCCCATGTCGTTCGTACCGCATCGCGATCCGGGGGCCTCAGTAGTCGGGGACGCGCTATCCTGAGGGGCAACGGTAGGGGGGGACCGGCATGGGGGAGGATGCTTCGATCTGGAATCGGCGACACATCGCCTGTGCAGGCTGGGGCTATCGGGCCCCTATCGGCGATCAATGGGCGACTGGAGGTCGATGCATCCCCCCATGTGCCCATCCCCCTGTCGTTGCCCCTGATATCCGGGTCAGCCCAAACCCCGTCGGCCAGGGCCCTGTCGCGATGCCTGGCCGGCCACGAAGTAGCTCCCAGATCTGGGTCAGCGGAGGGCGGAGGAAAGCGGCCGGCTCCAGGCGGCTCCCACATCCGGGTCCGTCAGGGAACCTCGGCGGGGATTAGCGGACCCCCGTCACAGTCGGGCTGCTAAAAGAAGGAACGACGAATAAGGAACGAGACCCCCTTTTCGGCCCCCAAAGCGCCTGCGTGAGCGAGGAGGGTTTGATGTGCAGTCACCATGGAAGGACCTAAGCAACAGCGAACCCCTTCCGAAGCCAAAGCGGTCCTTACTTCAACGTCTTGGCTGCACGTGAGCCCCGACACGGGCTCGCACCAGAGGTCCCTCCGGCGAAGGGTCGCCCGCACGCGTGGCCGAGACCTTCACCTGCATCGCGGAGGCTTCGGGCAGCGGGGCCACGGTGTCCCCGCTGGGCGACGGGGTGCCGCCATCGCTGGAGTGGGAGACCATCGAGTCCCACGTCACCGGAGGGAGGAGGAGGAGGGAGGAGGAGAAGGAGGATGGGGAGGAGGAGGAAGAGGAGGAGGAGGAGAAGGAGGAGGTGGAGAAGGGAGGAGGAGGGGGGAGGAGGGAGGGATGGAGGAAAGGAGGAGGAGGAGGCGGCCGAGGCGCGGGTCAACTGCAGCAGGCTCCCGCCGCTTGGCTGGGCGCTTTCGCCTGGGGAGGAGAGCTGCGACTAGAGTTCACGTCGTGGCGACGGGCTTGGGACACCGCGCGGGTCGCTCTGAGCGATCAACGCTGTGTCCGAAGCCGTCGCACGAGGAATTCCTGTCCCTCACGAGCGGCGAACATATCCAGATCTGCGCCCTCGCGGTCTGGATTCTGGGATGCGATCCCGCGGATACGCGGCCGCACGGATACGTTGCGCACGGAGCATCGGCAGCCAAAAACGCACTGTTTCCGCGGGGTCGCGGCCCAGGGGCCCGGCCCACGAGGCTGCGGATACGCGTATGTTTTTTGTTTGGTTTGCTTGTAATGTTTTTGGCCCAAGAGTCCTGCCCCCCCCAACACCACGAAACTGGTGTTCAGCTTCGTCCGGCAGGCAAGACCGGCGAACAACCTTTGAACGCGAAAGAGAAGCAGTGCCGGATACCGAACAATACATATGTTGGGCAATCGTGTCGACACGTTGGAAGCACGCACACGGCGCCGTTCAACAGAACGCAAGCACGGCTCAACGCCACCAGGACCTAGGTCCAACTGGCACGCCACCAAATTCGCATCTATTCTTTTTTTGGGGGGGGGCATCTGGAAATTCTCCCGCGCCATGATTGGCCCTGGGTGTCTCCAGAAGATCAGGACGTAGCTTCCCCCGACGATCGCTGCAATGTGGAATCGATTTTGGCATCCGTGCGAACATCGCCTCGGGCCAGCCGCCAACCCAGGGTGACGGTGACCACAAGAGGCCCAGGCGGCAACGAAATACGAAAGATCGGCTCAAGTCGTTCAAAACTTACAACATTGATGCAACATCGCGACGGCTGACGAATTCATACCTGGAATTCGACTGACTAACCGCCTCCATACAGTGCGTTTTGGGAGGATCTGGGCGGAACTCCGCGGACTTGGGATGCAAGTGTTCGAAGGTGTCCAGGAGAGTCCCCGGAGTGTCCTGGACCCTCCGATCTGATGTTTCCATTCCGCGGCCCCAGAGGTACCGACCCCGTCTTGGGAGGCAGTTTTTCCGTCTCAGATCCATGTGTGATGTCGCCGAAATTGAGGAGAAACTCAGCGATTGACAAAAATCAGCTCGTCGGAGATCTGGGCAGCGAGCAGCGGCCCAAAGGTGCCCTCAGGTGGCGCCACGACGCCCAATGGCGCCGCCGATGGCCGGACGCGGCCAGCAACAGCCTCGAAGCAGGTGGCGAGGCGAGGCCCCTAGAATTGCCGATCCCTGGCGGTCTGGTAAACAGGAAATTGACGTCTGGTGCAACAAATGCATACCTCGCTGCATCTCCAGAGCATATGAAGCCGCGCCGTTTGTTCTCGATGCGCACAAATGGACGACGCCGACCCACGGCATACCCACAGCGAGCCCACGGAAAGCCCTGCGCCGTAAGCGGCATTGCCCTGGTGGCCGCGGCGCCCTCCCCAAAGCGGAAGGCCGCGCGTCGGAACGAACTGCTCGGCGACATATACACTTGTGACTCGTCGGAGGCAGCAAACGCACATCACTTGTTGGGCAATTCCGAAGCACGCCGCGCTTGCTCGGTGGAAGCCGGTCCGAATCACTTCCGCACTTAACGAGATGCTTCGAATGTTAAGTTGCGAATGTCGGCTCTACTTTAAATTCCTCGCCGGTCGAACTCGAACGTGCGCACGCATTTCTGATTCGATAGTTCCCCGTCGCCCATGTATGTTTTCGGACCGATATCGGGGGTGGCATCCGAATAAACCTCCTGGACAAAAAACAATCCGCAACCTTGCGTCGCGACCTGGGGGCCGGAGCTCCCAAAGACAATCTTGGACCATCCCGGGTCCACCCTGGTGAGACGTCCGGCCCTCCGCTCCTTCTGTCGCAAAGCGCGATGCTGTTTGGAACGAGCGCGTCTTCTGTCTTGAAGCCTCTCGGGGGTCTCCCTGGGAAGCATGTTCGGCCATCTTCGGCCATGAAGGTGTTCTCGAATTCGACTCGTCGGAGATCTGGATATGCTGCTTGTTCTCTTTCCTGGGTTACGGTCGTTACCCGTGGGGGAAGAGGGTCGGGCGGGAGGGTAACGGTAACGGCGACCGCGGCGTGCACCCGCCAGGGTATCCGCGCCACCGGCGTTCAATCGCCTACGTGCACCACAGCACGTAAAGGGGGGGGGTCCAGGCCGCCCACCCAATACGATCGTTAGCGGTGCCCGGGGAGGGGCGGGGTTTGCCCCGGTAGCGAGCGTTACCCTGGGGAGGAACAAGAACGCTCACTTCTTCGGCCTCCACCCAGGTCGCCGTCGCCGTCTGGGCTGGCCGCCGGCCCGCCCTCTGCTGGCGCGTCGGGCACCTCGGCCAGCGCGCTGCCGCTGCCGCGGCCCGCCCGGGCGGCCGCCGCGTGAAGGCCCTCGTACTCCTCAAGGGGCCGTGCGGTGGCCCAGATCCCCTACTGGGATGACCGCGGGGGGTGCTAGGGGGGTACGGGGGGCTCATAAGCGGATACCAAGGCGGTTATATCTGGCCCAACCTGGCTTCTACATGGACTACAAGTGCCCCACGTGGCTCAGGGGGGCTAGCGATACAGGCTAGGTAAATGGGCTTCGCCCGCTCAGCCGAGTTATCGAAACCCCCGAAGCTACGTGGGGCATGTGCAACCCAACAATAAGCCAGGTTGGAGAACATATAACCAACTTGGCATCGGCGTGTAACCCCCCATATCCCCTTAGCACCCCCAGCGGTCATCCAAACAGGGTCCTGAAATTATCCTGGCGAAGGAACCAACCATGTGCAGTCGTGAGTACCGTCGTTGTGGGTATCGCCTTCGGCGCAATGCAAACCCTGGAATTTAGGCCGCAGCTGGAGCTCCCGAAGGGCGACCATTGCATTTGGGCCTTTGCTGGAGGGGTGTGCCGAAGTGAAGCGCCGACGCCATGCGAACTCTGGCATTTGGGCCTCAGCTGGAGGCCGCTATGGTACCACGAAGCGTTGTGAGGGGTGCGCAGAAACGATGCACCGACGCCATGCGAACCCTGGCAGTTGGGCCTCAGCTGGAGCTCCCTGTGGGGCCACGAGACGTGTGAGGTGTGTGTGTGTGTGCCGAAATCAAGCATCGACGCCATGCGAACCCTGGCATTTGGGCCTCAGCTGGAGCTCCCTGCGTGGCCACGAAACGTGTGATGGGTGCGCAGGCATGAGACTCCGGCGCAAAGCGAACTCTGGCAGTTGGGCCCTAGCTGGAGCAACCTACGAGGCCACGAAACGTGCGAAGGGTGTGCCGGGATGGACGTTCGGAGGGCAACGGAAACGAAGGTGCAAGAGGAAGGAGACACGGGGCGCTGTCTCTGCAAAACGGTGGACCCCACACCCCAAAATGATCCGGAAAAGCCGCGACGTTTTTTGTTTCATATTTGCGGTATCTGGCCGAGGGGTCCTCGCCGGGCACCCCGACATTCAAGTAACGACTCAGAACCAAAAACGGGCCCCCGGAAATGGGTCGAGACCTCTGGGGGTCGACGTCAAAAAAATAATCACGACAACGGGTGTCTGGGGCCTGGTCACTGGGCAACGACATGTGCAACCTTACCCCTGCAGGTAAATTTTCAGAAGAAACGGCTGGGGTTCAGAATTTAAAGGATGCCTGCAGCCAAGTGAACCCCCGCAGGGGTGTCATATACCCCAGCGTCGATTGCACCCGTAGGGGTGGGGTTCGAAAGAGGTCGCAGAGGAACCCCAAGGGACGTGTCCTCGGAGGGACCGTGCGGTGGACGTGGATCGGCGGCGAGCGAGGGGGGGAAGTGAGAAGGAGGAGGCCTTCTCAGAAGGCTCGAAAGTCCCCCGGCCTTCTGAGAAGTGTTCTAAGCCTTCCCCGAAGGCGTTGAAACCCTCTCAGAAGACGTGAGGGCTTCCGAGAAGCCCCGCAGCCTTCTGAGAAGGCCTTCTCCTCCTCACTTCCCCCCCTCGCTCGCCGCCGAGGTACCCCAAGGGACGTGGCCTCGGGGGGACCGTGCGGTGGCCTTGGAGCCCCAAGAGAACTCACCGCTCGGCGCCGAATCGCCCGCGACGCCCTCGGAACACGGCCGAGGCTCCCACAGCCGTGCCCGTCGGCCCGCAGACCCACTTTCTCACCACAAGGCACGGGCACCGC